AGATATTGTGACATTTAGGAACCCTGAGCCAAATGGGAATTGTTTTGTATGTCAGCTTTTTTGACTTGCATTACACATTCTAGCATCTGATGTGTTCGAAAGCTCGAGTATTGTATTGCAAAACTGGAATGTTTGTAATATTTATTTCAATGCACAGTGGACATCACTGTTACTTCTCTGAAGACTGGTTGAACTTTCTGCACTTAAAAAACATAGATACACATCTATAATTCCTGAATGTTATAGGGGTCATTTAGAAAGTGAAAATATTACCGTACAAAGTCTTCACATTTGAGACATAATTGTATGATTGTTCACATTCTGTTAATATTAGCTACTGGCAGGGGACTGATATCCAAATGTTTCAGGTTTCAGGTTCAAGACAATTCATTGAACACATTGAAATTTATTTTCCGACAGAGTTGAATGGAGTGGTTAGATTTTTTTTTTTTTTTTTTTTGTAATGCCTTTGTTCAAATTTTTTGACTTCTCCTGGGGTTTCTTACCAAAAAGTTATTACTTGTACTTCTAAAAGCTGTTTTAAGCATTAAACATGATACAAAGGGCTGTGAATATTTAATGTCTTTTTTCAAACAGCCTGTATTTTAAAAGGCCTTAATAATAATCATGGCTCTTGGTAAAATAATTTGTATACCGAAGGGTGTCAAGTCAGGGTGCCATTCCTTGGAAGAGCCATTTTACTTGGAATATATTGTTCCAAAGGAAATGGACAGAGTCCTGTTGCAGAAATAGCGTTCCACCTGGTCCTAGCATTTTAAAACAGTCCTATTCTAATCCATAACACATTTCTAGTTTTCCCTGAAGCTTTGGGCTGCCTTGTGCATGAATAATTTTTGGAGAAACACCCACGCCCGTTAGCCCATTGTTCGTAACTATTGGAAGAAGATTAACTAGAGCCTGAAAATTGTATATCCGCGTATGCCTCTGAATCTGTCACTGGGAGCCAAAGGAGATAAGTGGCTTTTACTTCGGATGAAGAGGTAAAATTCCCCAGTAGAAATTCTAAAGATGATTCACAAGTTTCAAAATGTTTAATGCCTTCCTACAATGGAAACATGTCTCTCTGTCTAGGGGGATGGAGATTTGTATCTCTTTCTCCAGCTCAATCTTTGTCTAAAAGTATTTCATAGATATTTTGAGAAAGTGCCACATAGAGGAAAGGAGAAAATGAATTTAGCATTTTAACATCTTACAAGGGGAAAAATACACGAAAATTTCAGTTTTGATTTCTTTTTTGCCTAACGCATCTTCGAAATAGATACTACCGTTATTGCTCTTTAGAACTACATATGTGCATATTTTAAAGCCTTTAATATATTTCCGTATTGTTGTTATTATTTTTGCATTCATCTACATCTTACTATCCTTGTTGCAGAGAAGAGAGGATAATGTGAAAAATGACATTTGGGTTTTTTTTTTTTTTTTTTAAACAAAAGCATTTAACAAGCTTAAAAAATGAAACTCAACGAAAAAGAAAAGAAGGTTTGAACACAGTCAAATAACCTGAGAAGTGACAGATGGAAAAGCAACAGAATGCAAGCACCTTGTAAGGTCTGTAATCTTTGGATTTACTGTGAAAAGTTTCAGAACATCATAGATTCTTACTGCCACATTGTCCATAGACCCTGGAAAATAACAGTGAAATTCATATGTATACACATATATATGAATACACACACATAGGCATGCATACTGTCTTCACACACCCCTCCTCACCACTTAACCAGAGTTACATAAATGCTTCTCAGATATGTCATTGCATTTGTTTGTTTTCTCCATCTCAACTAAGTTCAGCGGCTTGCGCCTGTGACATTAATTATGCAAGATTCAAACAACCAAGCAGGCACATTTTAGGGGTGAGTTTTAAGAAATCTGTGACCTGAAAGAAATTCTGTGGGGACTATCTGGGTTATCCAATTTATTTCATGATTACATATTCTGTTTTTAGGTCTTGACCTATTTTTAAGCTATTTCCTCTCTGTATGCTTTTTAGGAAAAAAAAAATCCTTATTCTGAAATACTAATATTTTAGTTCTACATGAACTGTGTCCCTCAAGTGTCTTGGTATCAGCTATCTTTAGGAGCTCTTGTAAAACAACAGGAAGGCAGGCTGTTGTGTGAAGTGTTTACTGTTGTTATCCCACAGTGCCTAGGACAGTGTCACACATAACAGGTGTCCAACAATATTTGTTAAATGAATTTGCTAAATAAATATCATTTCCTGTTGTTCCCTGTGCCACCAGTGCTTTGTAACATGCTGTGTATTTGGAGAATTTGCTGAACTACAAAATAAGGCCAAATACATAACATTTAAATGTTGACATATACATTTTTAAATGGGCATCTCAATTTGCAGGTGGCTGGTGGTCTTAGCTGGAAGGACGGATGGGGAAGAAAAGGCGATCTCTCCTACTTACTGGTAACAAGAGGTGGTGGCAGAATGGAGATACTTGAGGGTAATTTGCATTATATTTGCACATCATCCTTTCCAATTCTAAAGTTCTCACTTATCAGAACTGTCTTTTATTCAGGGAAAAGAAAGCAGTGGTATGAAGGTGGATAAAGACATTCTCCTGAGTTTATGTTATTTAGCTTTTTTCCACCAGAAAGAAGTTTCTAGAAGCCTCAGAGGGCTGGCCAAATGAAGAGAGGCCTGGCCTCTAGGAATATGCTGAGAGCCAAGCGTATGCCCCAGTGCCAGCCCAGATCTTGTTTTCTAAGGTGAACCTTAGCAGCCATCCCTCAGCAGTGACATGCATGGTTGCCAGGCGGCAATTTACCAGTCTTACCAAATTTATCAATATTTTTGAATCTCACCTCCCACCCCATCCCACCATAGAAATTGTGCTAACAAAACCATATCGATTATATGTTGAAGCAGATGGTTTATTTTTTCTTTCTTAGAAGGGAAACAATTTCCATGGAATTGGGAATTGTATTGATCTCCTCCCCCCATTGGAGCAAGGGCTTGAGAATCTGCTTTTGGATGGTTGCAGTGAGATGTGAATTATGTAACTTTGGCCTAATAACCCTGGATTAGAGCAGACAATTTTTAACAGCTTCAAGAACCCCAATGCTAATGCATTGATTTTCCTTTAATAGAATTTCCTTGTTGAAGGACGGTGCTCAGTAGAGTCCAGTCCACCCTTCAATCTTAACCCATCCGAAGACTGTTCTTTCCAGTCGAGCTCCATTCATTTCTGGTTGAATAGGTTAAGCAAAGACAGACCTCACTGTTCTCAATTCACTTTATGATCCTCCCATCATAAAAAATAATATCAGCACCTTGCTTTTCATGTCAGAACTACATTTGAGCCGCTATTCCCTATGCCCAAGAGTAAATCCCATAAAAGCCGCCCGGTTGTACTGTTGCTATTTTTCCTTGTGGGTGATTGATTGATGGATGAGTGCTGACACTTCAATGAAGCTATTTCGACTGCCATCTCAATCCGATGATGTGAGGGGTATATTTTCTGTCCATGCCTCATTACTTCAGAATGACATTCCTGGAACTTCATTTACTTTTTCCCTCCTTCCCCGAAGCGCCATATTTTTTCCCATCTAGGTTATGCATGCCATAAAAAAAGCAATTTGCTATTATATGTGGCATAAGGGCAACACTTTCCCTAGGAGGTAAATAAGAAGGTTTTTTTCTTTTTTTTTTTTTAAATCCCGATGTTGAATTTAGGGATCATGTCAAAATTCCCAAAACAATTCCAACAGGCAGCCTCTTTGAGAAATGGTGAGGAAGAGATATTTGGTTTCATTTTGTCAGTGTTGAGATTTAAAAAAAAAATAACCTTGGTAATTAAAGCAACAACAGAAAATATTCCTTTTGTTTCAGAATCATATAGTTCCTAGTGTTGTGCCTGGAATAGTATAAATATTTCACCATAGCTGAGTAGCAATTTACCACATAATCCAGACTTATTTGTCCTTTGAGAATAAGGAAATTCATTGTTTAAATGCAATGATGGATTTATCTATTATAGGTTGCTTTCAATTGTATAGAAAATGTTCAACTAGAGTAAACAGATCTATCCTTGCGTCTCCAAACTGTGCACTAGGTATGCAAGAATTTTAATATTAAAACATGCTCTTAGCTTTTCCAAGTTGACTTAGGACCTGATTTTAATCTGTGTAATACAGTATTCCCGTTAATAATAACGTATAATTAAGACATCCGTTAAAAATCCATAACGTTAATTTAATGGAGAAAATCTAATACAGTTCTATTGGAATTTTTACGTTAAATTAACTTTAACGGGCTTTTAATGGATGTCTTAATTAGATCTCATTATTAACGGGAATATTCCACAAATTAAAATTGGGCCCTCAAAGTTTTAATGAAAAAAGTTGCAGGAACACATTTAAAATGGACACCCTATTTCATGCTTTCTGTTGCTTCTTAAGCTAAGCTGTGTTTTAGAGCCCATAAACATCAGGTTCTGCAGAAAGGGATTACCAGAAAAGACTGCTGCAGAACTTTGTACCCTGCAGTGATCTCATCTTCTCGCATTCTCTCAGATTCTGCATTTCACCAGTTCTCCCAATTTGCAGTTCTCATACGACAGTGGTGTGTGCTTAAAACTATTTTTTTTAAACCAATCAAGATAATGATGATGATCAAGGTGCCTCACCACTGCATAGGAAAAGTCTTTGGCAGCAACATGGTTAAGCTTAACTATTTGAACAAGTTTCACAGAAGATGAACATCGTTCAGGGGTTTTCTTGGCTCAAACTCTGGTTTAACTCAATAATTCTTCTACTTTGCAGTGATTAATGGCCCCCTAGTGCAGGGGCAGGACTGGGCAATCCAGATGCAACCGTAATTGTTACACTGAACAGAAACATTTCCTTTAGACAAACGTTCCCAGAGGGGTTATAAATAGGAAATGGACATTACCATGAAAAGTAAGCCTCCAAGTGTCTACATCTAGTGCAGCCCACTTGGACATTAAACTATGAAGACTTATACTCCCCCCACTTCCCTGTTACAAACTGACAAAATAAGTACATCAATGTTCTCAGTCATTACTTTTCTTCGGTGGCACTTTGTTTTCTTGTGACAGTGAAAAGGGTACTGTGGAGACGAGACAGCCCCATTGCAGTTTATCAATAAAAATCTAATATCGCCCATAAGCAGAGAAGTGGAAATCAATACTTCATTACCAAATTGTTAGTGAGGATGAAGAGAAATGGCTGGGGTGATTTTTTTTTTTTTTTTTTTGGCAGTCTTCTTGGAGCCAGGGTGTCAGGAGGAGTTCAATGAGTTCAATGTCAGAAGCAGGATGGTGCAGCGAAGAAGGGTTCAGTGTGAGGGGATCCAGGCTGGAAAGTGGAAACTAAGGCATTCGTCCTGTAATGGGAATCAGAACAACAGAAAGGTGCATTATTTTCTGAGGTGTAGCCCAGGTGATTTTTCCCCGCAGTGATCACCTTGCCCACCTCCACTACTTTATTTGTCCGAATGTTCTGAGTAAAGTCATAGTTATATAACAAGACCGTGGAACATGAAAAGGAGGAGTCAACTTCGAGCAAAAACTATTTAAATACTGTATGTTCTCACTCATAAGTGGGAGCTAAACACTGAGCACACACGGATGTAAACACGGGAACAAGAGACACTAGGGACTACTGGGGCGGGGGAGGGAGGAAGGAGGAAATGGGTTGAAAAACTACCTATCAGGTACTATGCTCACTGCCTGGGTGATGAGATCCATACCCCACAGCTCAGTATCACGCAATATTCCCAGGCAACAAACTGCATGTGTACCCTCTGTATCTAAAATGAAAGTTGCAATTTTCTTTTTCTTTTCCTTTTAAGACAGAATCTCACTCTGTCACTGTACTTGTGCAGTGGCATCATCACGGCTTACTACAGCCTCGACCTCCCAGGCTCAAGTGATCCTCCTACCTCAACCTCCTGAGTGACTGGAACGACGGGCACACTCCATCATGCCTGAGTAGGTTTAGTTTTTATTTTGTAGAGCCTGTGTTGCCCAGGCTGGTCTCAGATTCCTGGGCTCAAGCAGTCCTCCCACCTCAGCCTCTCAAGGTGCTGAGATTACAGGCGTGAGCCACCTAGACTGGCCAAAACGTTGCAACTTTAAATTAAGAAAAAAAATAGGCCGGGCGCTGTGGTTCAAGCCTGTAATCCCAGCACTTTGGGAGGCCGAGACGGGTGGATCACGAGGTCAGGAGATCAAGACTATCCTGGCTAACCTAAAAGATACAAAAAACTAGCCGGGCGAGGTGGCGGGCGCCTGTAGTCCCAGCTACTCGGGAGGTTGAGGCAGGAGAATGGCGTGAATCCGGGAGGCGGAGCTTGCAGTGAGCTGAGATCCGGCCACTGCACTCCAGCCTGGGCGACAGAGCAAGACCCCGTCTCAAAAAAAAAAAAAAGAAAAAAATAATATTTTAACTATAATGTGTGGAAGGAATATTTGAACACCCATGTTCATAGCAACATTATTCACAATAGCCAAAACTCAGAAACAACCCAAGTGTCCAGCGGATGAGTGGATAAGCAAATGTGATACGTACGTACATGCAGTGGAGTATTAGCCCTAGGAATGGAAGAAATTCTGACACATTCTACAACAGGGGTGAATCCTGAGAACATTATGCTAAGTGAAAATAAGCCAGTCACAAAAAGAAAAATACTATATGGTTATAACTATATAACGTATGTGGTGGTAGTCAAACTCATAGAAACAGAAAGAGGAATGGTGGTTGCCAGGGGCTGGGGATGAGATGGGAAAAGAAATAAGAATTCTTGTTCACTCTGAACACAGTTTCAGTTTCATCTTTTGTAAGATGAAAAATTCTGTAGATGGATATTGTTAGGTTTGCACAACAATCTGAATGTACTTAAAGCCACTCAATTGTACACTTAATAGTGAAAATGATAAATTTTACGTTATGTGTATTTTACTGCAATTAGAAATTAAAATACATAATGTATGATTTTTCACTATAAAGTTTTTTGGGAAAAAAAGAAAACCATTAACCTATGGTCATACCAGGCTTAAAGCTCTCATTCACATTCTGCTGTATTTCCTTCTAGTCTTTTCTTTCCCCATGCTTTTTTTTTTTTTTTTTTTGAGTCGGAGCCTCGCTCTGTCACCTAAGCTGGAGTGCAGTGGCATGATCTTGGTTCACTACAACTTCCGCCTCTTGGGTTCAAGTAATTCTGCTTCAGCCTCCCGAGTAGCTGGGATTACAGACATGCATCACCATGCTCAGCTAATTTTTGTATTTTTAGTAGAGACGGGGTTTCACCATGTTGGCCAGGCTAGTGTTGAACTCCTGACCTCAGGTGATCCGCCTGCCTCAGCCTCCTAAAGTGCTGGGATTACAGGTGTGAGCCACTGTGTCTGGCCGTCCCATGCATTTCGTTAGGTTTACATAGTTATATTTGCTGACTGTATGATGCACCTGTCTGGAGGTAGTTTTTCACTGGAAAGCACCAGCATAAACAGCTGTAGAAGTTCTATCACATACATTATAATAGTTTACGATACTATGATAATGTAATATTGGGCATTTAATGTTTGCAATTTTTATTCAACAATACACAACACTATGATGAACATCTTTGTGTTTCAGGCTTTTCTGTGTGCTGGAATATTTTCATAGGCTTAAATTCTTAAGCATGGAATTCCTGTCAAAAGATAGGAACATTTTTGTGGTAGAGAAGTGCTACTTAGTAACAGGGTGATTTTTCTTTCCAAGAATTTTGCTCTGGATTACTGTGCGGAAAGTATGCAATTTCTTTCAGCCCAATCTGAGTGCAGTTTCTTGTTTACATCTTGTTATTTAGTGGCAGTGTTCATTTTAGTGAGAAAAAACATTAAACCTAAATATGATTAGTCTTTTTAGAAAAGGAAAGCTTCCAAATTTCTAGTGGAAGGATAAAGACAAATTGAAAATCAGATGATATTTGATATGTGTAGAGAAATTATGCACAAAATAATCATAACAGACATTTCAAACTATTTCTTGGTAAGGAATAGTATGATTGGAATTCTAGCAACCAGTTATTATGTATCTACCAAATTCCAGTCACTTTATACACATTACTGTTAACTCTTGAAACAAATTCATTTTAAAAATGAGAGATAAAGGCTGAGCATGGTGGTGTATGCCTGTAATCCCAGCACCTTCGGAGGCAAAGGCGGGTAGATCACATGAGGTTATGAGATCAAGACCAGCCTGGTAAACATAGCAAAACTTTGTCTCTACTAAAAATACAAAAATTAGCCGGACATGGAGGTGCACTTCTATAATTCCAGCTACTTGGGAGATTGAGGCATGAGAATCGCTTGAACCTGGGAGGCGGAGGTTATAGTGATCTGAGGTTGCACCACTGCACTCCAGCTTGGGCAACAGAGTGAGACTCTGTCTCAACAACAACAACAGCAACAACAACAAAAAAAAAAAAGAGAGAGAGAGAGAGATAAAAGTAAGTGACTTGTCCCAGTGTTCACAGCTAATAAAAAGCAGAGGATGGCTTTAAATTTAGTCCTTCCTACTCTGAAGCTTCCAAGCTCATGACAGGTACCACCCTACCTAGATTACAGGTGAACGCCTTGATCACCATCAGTGGAGAGAACCATTTCCCTTTGACATTAGATGTGCACTCGAGAGAAAAAGAGCCCCTGGCGATCTTTGTTTTGAATTGGTTGAGATCCTCTGGCAGGTCTAGAAACTTAAAGGAGGATGATCATGTGGTTGGAAGAAGAGAGATGGGTCCAAGAAAAAGTGGAGGCCAGAAATTGGTGGACTTTTGGAAACTGCAGTGGCATTACACTGTGAAACAAGAGTGAAGTCCTGGCTGGAGGACTGTTTCACACCGGGCCTACTGGAGGCTGTCATTTTCTCCTCTTTGACCATGATATCAATGTGACACCAATTTCATGGAACTTTGTTTTATTATCACTTCCTTGAAGTGGCTCCAGATTAGATCAACACCCAGACTTTTCTAACTGGGTTTCTTTTAGGGCAAAGTTTGTCTTGAGAATGAAAGCAAGGAGAAAGAAAACAATGATTTTATTATAGTTCCTGTCTTGGAAATTTACAACACACATTAACATATTAAAGACTCTGAGAAGTCCTGCAGTTAAAACCAAACCGAACATAGTATGTCTTTACTTAACCCAGTACTTGCCAGGTTTATTTGATAACTCTTTTCTTTCCTATTTAAGATTCACAAATATACCTGAGTGTTGTTTGCTGAAAAATACCTTCATGACAGATTCTGTTTGTTTTTCAATTTTTTAATTAAAAATCTGTTTTGTTTTGTTTGTGGGTTGGGGAGATGGGGGACAGGGTTTTGTTCTGTCACCCAGTCTAGTGCGCAGTGGTGCAATCACAGCTTACTACAGCCTCGATCTCCTGGGCTCAATCCATCCTCCCACGTCAGCCTGCTGAGTAGCTGGGACTACAGGTGTGCCACCATGCCCAGCTAAGTTTTGTATTTTGTAGAGCCTCCTGGGCTCAGGTGATCCTCCCACCTCAGCCTCCTGAATAGTTGGAACCATCGGTGTGCACCAGCACACCCGGTTAATTCTTTTGTATTTTTTGTAGAGACAGGGTTTCGCCATGTTGCCCAGGCTGGTCTTGAACTCCTGGGTTCAAGCCATTCTCCCCACCTTGGCCTCCCAAAGTGCTGGGATTACAGGCATGAGCCACCATGTCCAGCCCTATTTTTAATTTTTGTGGGTATGTAGTAGGTGTATATAGTTATGGTGGACATGAGATGTTTTGATACAGGAATGCAATGTGAAATAAGCACACATGATAGATTCCTGTGCGAAAACCAAGGAAGTTTTCTAGTTCTCGAGACCTCAGCCCTGATTTTGTTATTGACTTTCTGTGATTCTTGACTCAGGTTATCTGGCTTTTTTGGATCTCAGCATGAAAGGATCCTGTTGCAGTGCAATGTGACATTGCTTCACCTTGTGTCAACTTCACAATGCTGCAGTGCAGGAGATCATAATTTCTACACTTTCAACCTAGGAAACAGAGGGTTAAGAGATGTAAAGATGTTGGGCCTGTGGTCATTCTTGCCTCTTCAGCCACTGCTGCTTATATACTTGTATATAAGAAGTAATACTTTGGTAATGTTTATTGTAATACTTTGGTAATGTTTTTAAGCACTGAACATTGACATTATTAGCGATTTAGAGGCGTTTTTCCAAGAATATCTGAGTATAGTTACTTTTTTTTTTTTTGGAGATGGAGTTTCGCTCTGTCGCCCAGGCTGCAGTGCAATGGCGCCATATCTTGGCTCACTGCAACTTCCGCCCCCGGGTTCAAGCAGTTCTCCTGCCTCAGCCTCCCGAGTAGCTGGGA